ATGCAAACAACTGGCGAATTTAACACAGCGATGTCATAGGAATTGGAAATTGTCCCCCGCTGCATTACCTTTTCTATAGTTCAGAACCAGTCCTAAATTCGACATATGGGATCTAGTTCGCTTTGCACCCCATTTTCTATAGTTTCGAACCAGTTGTAAACGAAAAAAGTAACAAGCTGTTTTCTTTTTGGGTTACCATTGTAGCAATTTTTAATTATTTGCAGAGAAATGTATTTTCAATCTGAAATTAAATTTGTTTGAATGAATGTAAATTAAATTGTGCATTTGAAAACACGTTTACATACCTTTGGCTGTAACTGAATTTGCAGAGGTGCTGACTGTTATTGGTTATATTCCAGAAGGTCCCAAAATGTTAAGATGTTAACACAAATATTAGTTTTGTATTACCCAACTATGAAAAAGCATCTGCGACGTGCAGACTGAAAGCGTATTTGAACGAAAAACCCGCCAAGCAAAAGTATATTTAAAGTAAACAAGCCCACCGCTGCATCCTTTTTTCAGTAGTTTCGAACATGTTCAAAATTCGCCAGATGAGATCTAGTTCGTTCTGCATCCCTTATTCTATAGTTTTGAACCAGTTCTAAATTCGTCATTTTAGATATACATTTCTAAAATTGTTTTTTAAAAGTACCACATATCGCTGCTTTTGAACTAGTGCGATCTAGTTACTATCGGACTGATTCGTTTTTTGGCGATAAAGATCTAGTACGGAACTACAAATTTGGTTCACCAGTTCGGGGTTTCCCTACAGGGTAAGCATAGGAAGCATCCAACCGCCTGCTTACATACACATGTATGCACATATACCCAAACGCGCAGAATCTAAAGCGCGAATATTGTATCTGGCCCACAGCAACGGCCAAGAACGCGTATAAATTTTCCATATGTTTTTGGGCCCACGAAAACAGAGCCACCGCGGATACGTTGTTAGTATGGAGCTCCAGCGCTGGTAATTTGGGTCGACGACTACATACTGGTAAACAGGAGATCGGTGGGCTACTGGTGAGCGGGCTGAATAAATCGAGGCAGCCAGCGATTACGCGAGAGCAGCGCCAACGACACCAGCAGCGCCAACGACGCCAGCAACCCCAGAAACAGCAGCGGAAAATAGATTTTAGGATATACATATTTCTACTTAATAATTTTTTTTGCTAGGGTTGAATTTATTTTTTTTGCTTACTATATTCGTTTTTTATTAAGCTGTAGGTGAATAACTCAGTGAGAGGGCATTTGCATAAAAATTTATTAAAGCAAAAATGTTTTGGGTAGGCGTCGGGGCCAATGATAACCATCAGTTACCACCTCTGCATGGTTGTAAGTCATGCAGAGTCCCTACGGCTTGTAGCGCTGTGGCTTTGCCGCTTAAACTCTATAAGAGTTTTTGGGGTGTGCGTCAAGCGGAGTGTTGAGCACCGGTTATTTATTTAAGTTCAAAAATTGGGTAGGCGCTGTGGCCAATGGTAGCTCTTGTACCACCTCTGTATGCCGAATGCAATACAGAGCCCCGTGAGACAACACCGAGAGAGTTCTGATGCATCAAGCAAGTTTGTTGAGCATGATTTCGAGTGCCAGCAATTAACTACTTTAGTAGGTTTTGTTCTGCGGCAGTGGAGAAGTGCATTAAAAAATGCATACCCAACGAAGAACGAACGAATTATTTTTAAGCACAAGTGCGTGTGTTTATTCGATGCACTTGGTTTAGGGCGGGAGTGCAATATACAAGTGCGTGTGTGTGTTCGCTGTTCTTTGTTTATGCGGGAAATGCATAACTCGCTTAACCCTTCGATTTGTGAGAAGGTCCCTAGGGACCTTTTCGTATTTCATGTGCCTATATCTTTTTGTTCAATGCATTTTTGAAAATAATTTATACATGTATTCCAAGAATAAATTAAGCTGAATCGTTTAAAATAAGTTTCGAAGGGATACGGGATCACGTTCGAGTGTTATTGAGATTTCAACATATATAGTACGGGGATTAGTGACAAGGTCCCTAGGGACCTTGTACAATTTTAGAAGAAATAACAAGTTACTTGTCTTCATGTTTTGATTTTTTTTTACTTGTTCTTCAAATTATTTCATTCCTAATATATATATGCAGGACGTTAATTTAATCAAAAGACAACATAAATACCAAAGAAGTTGCACATGTACAGTCGAAACATCGAGCAACTCTTTGTAGGTCCCTAAGGACCTTCTCACGAATCTAACGTCATCGGCACTGTCACTCATCGGAGGGTTAAACATCCTGGCCCCCCCTAGACGACTTGTCGTCTAGTGGATGTAAAATAAGCCGCGAGTTTCCGGCTCGAAGGACCATGAATAACTCAGTGAGAGGGCAGGACCAGGATGAATGTATTTGCATAAAAATTTATTAAAGCAAAAATGTTTTGGGTAGGCGTCGGGGCCAATGATAACCATCAGTTACCACCTCTGCATGGTTGTAAGTCATGCAGAGTCCCTACGGCTTTTAGCGCTGTGGCTTTGCCGCTTAAACTCTATAAGAGTTTTTGGGGGTGTGCGTCAAGCGGAGTGTTGAGCACAGGTTATTTATTTAAGTTCAAAAACTGGGTAGGCGCTGTGGCCAATGGTAGCTCTTGTACCACTGTATGCCGAAGGCAATACAGAGCCCCGTGAGACAACACCGAGAGCATGTTTGTTGAGCATGATTTGGAGTGCCAGCAATTAACTACTTTAGTAGGTTTTGTTCTGCGGCAGTGGAGAAGTGCATAAAAAAATGCATACCCAACGAAGAACGAACGAATTATTTTTAAGCACAAGTGCGTGTGTTTATTCGTTGCACTTGGGTATGGTTGGGTTTTGGGGCGGGAGTGCAATATACAAGTGCGTGTGTGTGTTCGCTGTTCGTTGTTTATGCGTGAAATGCATAAGTCGCTTAAACAGTAGGTTTTACTTAACTTTGCGCGAAATACGCTATTAAAACATGCCGGAAAAGGGACTTACCAACTAGCTCCTCTATTTCCATTGGATCTATTTAATTTGTACGTTTCGTTTTCACATTATCCGCTTGCATTGGTATTTGCCTACCAAGTGCATTCGTTTATCAATTCCATTTTTAGCTTTTTTTCAAATTTTTGTTTCCTCCGCTATTTCTGGATTTTTTTTTGTTGCTTTGCGGTGACTTTCGGAGGAAAAGTATAAGATAAGCAAACAAATGAACTAACTTCTTTTCTTTGCCTTTTATTTTTATATCCACGAATAAAATTAAGTTGTAACTTTTGTACTTTACTAAGACTCATATTCGCACACTTTAGTTTTTAACATTATTGTGCCTACGGTCAGAATTTTTTATTAATGCACTTAAGGAATTCCCGAATACTTGCCGGTAGCGTAATTTAAAATTTTTTCCGATAATTTTTTTCTTTTTCCGCGCGGTCACACGACGATCCATTTTAATGATCCGCGCACTACTCGCGATTGGGAGTAATTGAAAGATTGGTTAGCGTCGAGACAATGTCACCGCTGTTGTAGGCGTGTGTACTCACTTATGAATGTATGTCCATGCGAAGGGTAGATCTCTCCCCCCCCCACAGGTTCTCAACAGGATGGTGGTACCAAAATCGCTGGAGTAACCAGGTGAGTGATACACATAGCTTCATATATATATGTCTACCATTTATTACCTACTCGCCAATAATTTCATGCATAGTTGTTATCGCGCTAATTGTTCATTGATTTCGGCAAAACGAGAGCATCAAATCAGGAATAGGAAAACGGGTTTGCCTATCTAACGTTTGTGGAATTCTTTTGTGTTAATTTTTGCTGTGAACATTGTTAATTTTGTTTTTCTTTCTATTGAATTCGCCAAAACAATTCAAAATATTAACTCGAACAAGGGAATTGATGTTTTTTTTATGCTCCTACATAAGTATGTAGTTAGGAGTATGTATTACATAGGTATGAGTTATTGTAGTTTAAGCCCCCTTGAACTCATTATTTAATTTTTAAAGCAGATTTATGAATTATGTGTGGAGTCCTTGTATTTTAAGCCCGCCTGAATTCATTATTTAATTTTAGAGGCAGAGTTAATCTAAGAATTAAAATCAATTGTGAAATAAAATAATGAATTTTGGTTGAAAAAAAGATGACTACGGAAATCATGAGGAGCTAATTTCATAAAACTTGGTGTAGGTGTTGCGCTTGCGCGCAAGAGGGGTGGAAGTATGGACAGGGCGACATGACAGGTTGACCAGACGAGACGGTGTGACTGACATACGGACGATAGTCAGGCTAAGGGGGCGTTGTAAGTTCAGAGGAGTCAGCACAACGCCCATGGCTTCGCGTTAGTTGAACGCTGATGAGGGTGGGTGGACTCCCCCTGACGTGACTGGACTGGCCTTCTTTTCTTTTTCAGTTTCTTTGCTTTGCTTTTTTTTATCACTTCTTCTTTTATCTCACCTAACTCGGCATGACAACACTTTTTTGTTAGTGTAGCGTAGGCAAGGCGAGTGCAACAGACCCACCTCGGCCGATGAGCTACGCCAGGTACCGCAAGCATGCCGACTTGCAACTCGACCGTGCAATAGCACTACAGCTACGTAACAAATGTGAGCATTGGAATTCCATAGTGCCAATTAGTATCATATTTTCTCATTCACAGGCAAGACGCACTCCTTCGAAATCTATCGCTGCTTCTGCAGCAATAAGTGTGGCTGTAATATATTGCCATTAGCTCCAGCTACATGTAGAGCATGTTAAACATTTTTATTTGTATTTGTACGAGCATCTGACAGCCCACTTGCGTACATAAATAGAAAATACAAAACATGATGAGGAACTTGAAAATGAAGATGATCAAGAGTACACAAAGGTGGAAACTGAGAACATGAAGCTAAAGCATCGATTGGCAATTCTGAATAAGGTTAGTCATTTTCAATATTATATCCTTGTTCGTCGACATTATAGGACATGTCATCATTGCAGGCTATTGTTGCAGAACAAAATGCCGCAACCACTGCTGTTTTTGGTAAATATGTAGCAGCGGTACTGCCCACCGCCGTCGGTGCAATGATTACGATAGCACAACAAACGCCATCTCCTGGGCATTCCCACAGCTTGCCGACACCAGCTATTATATCACGTGTGAATGCAACTGCGGCTAAATTTGGTTGTTATCAGTGCAATAGTGCCATGTCATTGGCAAAAACACTAAAGTTCGGAACACATTGAAAACGACGAGCTACGGGCCACAGCTTTGACTTTTTGAACGCTGCAGCGACATAATGAATTTGTATGAGTTTGACATAAAAGGAGAGGAAGAACCTTATCTGTCGCTGGAAAAAAATAGAAATAGATCTAATCTGGCCACAACCACAGACGTCGCGTAGCCCGGTCGTCACCAAAATAATTATCTACATAAGAGTACGTGTTCAAATAATTTGACAGCTGTGGTCCGTAGCTCGTCGTTTTCATTGTGTTCGGGCTATAAAGGCTGCTGGCACAAGAGATATAGCCAACGAAATAAATAAACATGATGTTCAATCGCCACTTGTGGCTAAAACTGAGGTTGCAAGTGCTCGCTTCATTAATGTGTTTCTCAAAAGGTATACAGTTTATGGTTATGTTCGTGCAAATATTTACAAAAATTTGTATATCAAATGTAGGGATTATGCTGTTCGTGTGATTTCAAACCTCTTAGGATCCGGAGATTAACCTGCCAACTTGCCGCAAGCAACGTATCTCATATAGATGCACGTTGGTCATTTACGTTCGACTATTATTGGAGAGTCCACTGGTTGTTCGTTGGAGTTTCTAGGGCACGATAATCGCACGAGCTAATCAAGGCTATCACAGAATCCATCATAGTCCGATTTTTCGTGAAATCTACGAAAATGCTATTGAATTCAAGTAGCTACGAAGGCAGCGTATGCTTTGAATACACATTCTCGTAGCAGTTCAGATTCAGTGATAAATAGACTACGATGGATTCCGTGATAGCCACCAATATGTATTCTCCTTTGACAAGATGTTGGAGAATCGCGGCAACACGACCGTATACCTAATCTATGCTTTTACGCGCATAGGCTAAATTTCTCGCACCTAGCTAAAGTGCTTGACAAAGGCAGGGGGCTTATCTTCACCATTATAACTTAAAGTAAAAAAGTTTAAAGTATGCAATAAAAGAATACAGCAAAACCTTTCCTTTTTCTTGTCGAGTTCGTCTTGCTCTCTCATTTTGGTATATTTTGACGTCACGGCCAGTTGCTCTCAGCTCGATTGGCGCTATCTTGTATTCTATCATTCTTGACCTTATCTACTGGTATACTGTAGATATCGGCACATGCTCACTGTAAGCTTCTTGGTGTGGCATACTTAGGTTAGGTTAGGTTATCCTGGCTGCCCTCATCAGCGCATGAAAGGGCACACTTAGGCCTCCATGGGGCCATTGTGATACCATATTTGAGACTCATACGTTCCTCCTCCTAACTCAGAAATTGAACCAATTTGTAGCTCTGATAAAGCGTACAAAATCGTAGATACTGGCCGAGTCCAGTTCAGCCAGACACTCGAAAGAATAGCGAAGGAGCGAGCGTCGACGGGCTCTTGCCAAGGCGGGACAGTGGCACAGGTAGTGCTCCACGCTCTCGATCTCCTCCTCATCGCGGCAGCTACGACAGTAGTCGTTTGGCTGCAGACCCATCCTGGCAGCGTGGGTTCCCATAAGGCAGTGCCCGGTGAGAATTCCGATAACATGGCGGAGCATTGGTCGCTCCAAACGAAAGAGAGGGCGAGATCTACGCTTATCTAACCTAGGCCAGATGTGTCTCGCTATCCTGCACGTGGGCTCTGCGGACCATCTTACATTTGCCCGTTCGATAAAGTTATTCTGCAGCCAAAGTTTACAGGATGATAGCGGAATACCCGCATTACGAGCTGGCTATCAGAAAAAATAGTTACTGCATGCAGATTAGTAGGATAATCGATCAGCCATCTAGCAGCTTCGTAGATTGCTGTTAGTTCAGCCTGAAACACGCTACAGTAATCTGGCAGACGGAAACTGAGGCTAAGTGAGAGTTCCTGCGAATATATCCCACTTCCTACCTTCAGATCTAGCTTGGAGCCATCGGTGTAGATGGCTGTTGAATCAGAATAAGAGATCAGGATTGAATCCTCCTCCCACTCACCTCTTGAGGGGATCCTTGTTTGGAAGTCATTCTTTAGTCCAGTAGGCGGGGCTGTGTAGTCAAGGCGCCTGAAGTTTCCTGGAAGATCTTCCAAAATTCTAGAGTGTCCAAATCTTGTATCACTCCACTTGATCAGCGCGTTTAATCTAACAGCATTACAACTTACCTGCAGTTTGCCATATAGGTCCACAGGTAGAAAATGGAGCAAAGTCTCTAGGGCTTTAGTCGGCGTTGACGGCAACGCCCCCGTGATCATAATGCACGCCACCCTTTGAACCTTTGTTAATCTGCTTTTGATTGTAATTTTGTCCACGGATGGCCACCAGACCGTGATGCCATAGAATAGAATGGGACGCACCACTGCTGTGTACATCCAGTTCACGATGTGCGGCTTTAAGCCCCACTTTTTTCCTATTGCTGATTTACAGGCATACAGGGCAGTTATAGCCTTCTTGCAACACTCTTCAACATTGCGCCGACAAGTTAGCTTTCTGTCAAATACAACGCCCAGGTACCTAACTTCCTCCGAGAGGGCCAGGGTAACACCGCTCAGGCGAGGAAGTTGTGCCTGGACGGTTTTAATTTTCTTTGTGAAAAGAACCATGACTGCTTTCCCTGGATTGACACCAAGGCCAGATTCCTTGGACCAGGTTTCCACAACGCGTAAGGCACCTTGGAGCAGATCACATAGAACTTGGGGGTGCTTACCTACCGCCGTCAGGGCCAGATCATCAGCGTAGGCAACTACCTGACAGCCTGTGCTCTGTAGATGCGACAGCAGAGTATTCACCGTTAGATTCCACAGGAGTGGGGAGAGGACACCGCCTTGCGGGGTGCCGCGGTTTGCATACGTTGTTACCGATACCTCTCCCATCTCCGAGTATATAGTTCTGCGGCCTAGAAGGCGATGAACAAATTCTACCAGAGGGTACTCCAGACCGAGGTTAGTTAGGGCGCGGAGAACAGCTTCTGCGAGAACATTATTGAAGGCACCCTCGATGTCAAGGAATACGCCTAATGCATATTCCTTAAGCGCTAATGCCTTTTCAATGGTTCTGACAATACCATGCAAAGCTGTGTCTACAGACCTGCATTTCCAATAGGCATGCTGACAATTTACTTAAATCAATTTCTTGTCGGATCTTCACGTCCAGTAGTCTTTCCAGAACCTTCAGGAAGAAAGATGTAAGGCTAATCGGTCGAAAGTCGCTTGGCTTCACGTGGGATGGTCTGCCGCCCTTGGGAATGAACACAACCTTCGCCAGTGTCCATCCCTTGGGTATGAAGCTAAGTCTGAGACAAGCCTTATAGATTGAAACAAGCATCGGACATAGAATGTCAGACGTTGCCCGAAGTTCGGCAGGGAAGATGCCGTCCATGCCTGGAGATTTTTAGGGCTGGAAGGACCTTATGGCCCAATCTACCCTTTCTACATCAATAAAATCTATGCATTCTAAGGAGGGTCCAGAAATTGTGCGAGCGACGCCAGGCTCCTCAGTACACCCTGGAAAGTGGGCGCTCATTAAAACCTCAAGCATCTCCTCTTGGGATGATGTCCAGTCGCCATTCGCCTTCTGAATAAACATTGGGTTCGTCGGATTTTTGGCAAGCACTTTGCGCAAGCGATTACCCTCCGTTTGTCCCTCTATGCTATCACAATAATCCTTCCAGGAGTCCATTTGGGCTTTCCTGGTGGCATTCTTAAATTTCTTTAAGGCTGCTTTGTAAGCAGGCCAAGAACCATTACGCTTTGCAGCGTTGAAGAGTTTCCTGCTTTCCTTCCTTAAAGAGGCAATTTCCTTAGTCCACCAGTGTGGCTTCCTCTTTCCTCTCGGAAGTACAATTGGACAGGACGCAGAGAAGGCCGTATTACAGGCATTGGTGATGCAATCTACGGCTTCTTCAATTTGTTCCGATGAGTTTAACTCACCGAGAGAAGCAGGGTTTGCGAATAGAGGCTCCGCTTCATCAGATGGTAACAGTAAGCCGAGCCTACCGAGAGAAGCGTCGTTGAGCAGAGACTCAGATAGTACCGTCCTAAACACAGTCCAGTCGGTACGTCTCTTGTTTCTATACAAAATCGGAGCCGGAGATTCCAAACAGATTTCGAATGATAGGTACATATGGTCAGAGAATGAGTGGTCGTTTAGTACATGCCATTCCCTAATACTCTCCAAGAAAAAATTGGACGTTAAGGTAATATCTAGTACCTCCTCCCTGTTGGAGGTAACAAAGGTGGGTCTACTACCAATATTACAAATAGCTAGATCATAAGATAATATGAAGTCAAGTAATAACTCACCTCTTGGGTTGATATCGGTAGAACCCCATAACGAGTGGTGCGCGTTTGCATCGGCTCCTAACACGACGGGAAACTTCCTTAAATTGGCCTCTTTCAGTGTGGCATACTTACATACATTGATCTTCAGCTTTTCCTTTCCTTTATTTCATAAAGATGAAGTTCGTGAAAAAAAGTTGCCACTGCGCAACAGAAACCTAATTTTACATCGCTGTAGTAGCATGCAGAATAAATAACACAAATAAATGTCTGTTTCGCTTCATGCAAATTCTGCACAAAACAAAACTCAACAATGTTAGTTCAACAGATCAACATTCAATAAATCCAACTAGATTCTAATACATGCATACATATTTACATAAGTATGTTCAAATTAGAATTGATATGGTAAAGTAATTAAGCCCTGGCAGGATTCCCGCCTCTATCTAGCCGAATTCCATTTTTCCAACGCTGTAGTGGCATGCACAAACAATAGCAAATCAATGATGTACATATGTATGTACATATGTCTATTTGTTGGGCTTCATAGGAATTCGGCACATTGTTTTCGCGAACATGATAAATTAGCAAGTGCGTTAAAGGCTGAGCGCTGCGCGTAAAGCGAAATTTATGTACAAGCAGCGCTGCGTTCAAAACAAAGAAACACTTTACATCGTGTATTTTGTTTGACAACTGTTTTTTTATTTCAAAATGCTGCTTGCTACGATATCGGCACATGCTCACTGTAATAGGCCATCCTAATATTCACGCACCCCGGCAGTTTACTGTCAAAAATTTCTCATGCACATACAACTTGTATAGGACCAACAGAAATTGAACGGCGTGC